AAGCAGAGAGATTGGTTAGTGGTTGGTAGACAAACAGGTATTGGTACCTGTGTTTGACGGCATTGACTATCCGGACAGGTTACGCAGCATTGCTCAGCAAATGTACTTGGACCGCCGCTTTGATCGCCAGTACATCCAAAACATTGATGTCGCTACCCTTTGCCTCTTCAATCCCATGCATGTTGAGGATTTGCATCAAAGATGGAGTAGCAGTGGTCAAGGTGCTGTGAGATTGCCCCTCAGCACTTGGCTTTGCACTTGATGCTGCTGCATCCTCACTTTCAGTCTTGACATTCTTGGCGTTGGCAGTGGCATCAGGGATAATGCTCTTGGGACACATGGCGGAGACCAATGGCAGCCATTCTACCAACTTGGCGGAAAGATCAAAGTCCTCTGCACAGTACTCTTGCTTGGGGCACGCTTTCTTGGCCTTCTTCAAGACGTGTGTCAATGTTGAAGCCCACATAGTTGACCACGCAACATCTTGTACATCACCACTTGCATCACTTGGGGTTTGGAAAGCAAAGCGGGCTTCCAAAGACAAAACAAATTTGGCAGCTGTCTGTTCATGCTCGTTCTTGCTACTGGTGCTCACGCTGGTAAGAAGCTGCAGGATTTGGCAAAGAAGCGCAGCCTCCAAGTCCCCAATATCATCGAAACGAATGTACTTGAGGTGAGCATGTGTGCCTTTTGCAGCGCCTGAACTGGCAGCTGTGGAACGATCCTCTTTTGGACCATAGTGAGGCCTCTTCATCATGATGGCTGCAGCAGCCAAAAGATACCGCACCCTGCCCACCATAAGAAGTTCAATAACTCCCTCACTGAACTTTTCCTTGGCTTTGTCATCCTTTGATGTCTCACTGACAAGAAATTTGCAGTCTTTCCCAAATGTTCCTGTGATTGACTCAATCTCCGCACCTTCCTTGGTGGTGGCTGCTTCTGTCTTGGAAAGATTTGCTAATCTCTTCGATTCCTTTTCCATGTCTGCGCCAACAATCAGTGCAGAGCTGCCAACCACTGTGATAATGGCTGGGGGTCCTGCCACTTGTCTGGCCATCGAATCATCATCCACAGCCTTTGCCAAGCCAAAAAAGCAAGTCTTGCAAAGTAAAGGAGGACTTGTCATGGAAGTCGCACACTGGCTCATCCCAAGCATCAGCACCACCACAGGTACAGCAAATTGATTTGCACAGTGACATATACGCACTGAAAGATGCATGCTTCCTGAAGTCCTTGTCATTGTTGGTCTTGAGCCAGGCTTCCGTTGCCGTCAACGCGGTTTTGCTGCCCAAAACGGATCGTGCCAAGCCAGAAGCTGAACCATGAGCATCTTTTTGGATTCCATTTGAAGCCATCAAATCTGCCACACGGTTCTGGGAAGCGTCCACCAAGAGCTTGTGCAAGACAGCCTCAACATCTTGGCCTTTTGGGATTACTGCGTGCATCTTGTCCAAATAAGTGACGATCATGCTCTGCAAAGTTGGCCGGAGCTTTGACCACTGGTTGATGACTCGCTTGTTGAGATAGACCTTGCCCACAATGGCAAACTCAAGCGCAAGCCCGATGACATATGGAACCACTGGTAAGTCACTTACATTGGAAGGTGAGGAGGCCAGCTTGGCATGTCCTGTTGCAGAAATGGTGTTGACAACCGCTGAAAGCACATCATCCAACCACAACCGCTGTCTGGCATCTCCAAACCAACTCCCAACCTCACTCTGTGCCAGCTCAGCCGCTGTGATGTCTTGCTGCAATGTTGCCGCGTTCTCCCCTGGCTGCAGCACTTTCTTGGAATCTGGGATAGGCTTGGCAGCTGCTTTCTTCTTTGCCTGAGCCTTGGCTTTCTTTTTTTGGTGCAACTGTATCACCCAGATCTGGTGCCTGTGGCTTCCTTTTCTTGGCACCTGGATCTTGTTGCAAAGCAGCTGCGTGTGACAGCTTCTTCACAAATGTCGCTCCCCAAATAGGGCACTGCAGCCGCTCGACAGCCTCTTGGACAGTAGCTGACTCAGGACCCTTCTTGAAGACAAAAGGCGGCTGCCTTGATGTAGATGTCGTATCTGAACTTGTGGGGTGCAGTAGAGGAGCCTCGCAGAAGAATCTATTCTGAATCAATCACTTCAATTTAACTCAACTCTTCAATTCCCTAGCTGGACTATTTTGCAGAGAAAGATGAATCTAGGCAATAATTCATTGATGTCACGTTCCGGTCTATGGCACCGACAAAACAGTCACTGAACTAGTGAACAATGAGCAGCAAAAAAGAAGAAATCATACTGTCATACTCAGTGAAAATGAAAGGATGCTGTGTGTCATCATCAACTTGGGCGCTGGCGCAAAACTTGCAGAGTTCCATCAGCACTACTCCAAGCAGTTCTGTCGGCTGGCCAGCAAACTTTGATTCAATGACTGTTGCAAAGTGGTTCATCACGCTCACCACTGTATCGTGCTTCCGCAATTCTGGATCTAAGAAATCGGTTTCATCCCCAAAGAACTGCTCCCATTTTGGCAGAATGCCAAAGAGCTGCAGCTTCTTCTGTAGAGCCCGAGCATTCTTGAAACATTGGACAGAGTACTTCTCCTGCCACATTGCCAAGATGGATCAGTATAGGACACCGGTGTCAAGGAACAAAGAAGAATGTCAATTCACTGACCAAAAATGAAAGTAAATATAAATAAATAAAGATACTATATATATATATAGCGTATATATATGTATGTATATCAAAGTGGCCTACAGGGCTGCCTGAAAAAGAAAAAGATTTATGATCACTCCTTGTATTCAGACTCTTGCAACCACTTTGAGTACTCATCGTAGTAGGAGCCAACGTTCCGGCTGGTGATCATCTTGCGCTCAGCGTATGCTTTCCAAGCCTGCAGCAACGATCAATGATCGTTATCAACATCAACAGAAACATCGTTTACAGTCCACATCCGGTTGTACTATAGGGACTATAGGGGCTACCTGGTGTGGACGGGGTTTGTCCACGGGCTACCTGTCCACAGTCTACACATACACACAGCACATCATCCACGTTTCACGCTTGAACCCTTGCGTTGGCGCGTTAGAGTTGACGGTAGGGCGCCTTTACATTCTTTTAGCTGCAGCTGCACCTGCGACAAACCTTTTAAACGTTTATGAAAGACTGAAAGCCAAGTTGCTTCATCAACTGCCGTGACTCCAGTCACAAGCTCACAGAAGCTAATTGAACTTCCAAAGTGGAACTTGTTGTTCATGTCCTTCAGGTACCTTGGCTCGAGGCTCAAGACTGGACCCGTCACCTTTCAGACTTGGGACCTCTTGGTCATATGAACAACTTCTCAACTTCAAACTC